CTACAGTGTATATGCCTGACCTTGGGGCTGCAACGTGCACACTGACCTTGGGGCTGCAGTGTATATGCCTGACCTTGGGGCTGCAGCGTGCACACTGACCCTGGGGCTGCAGTGTATATGCCTGACCTTGGGGCTGCAGTGTGTACACTGACCTTGGGGCTACAGCGTGCACACTGACCTTGGGGCTGCAGTGTGTACACTGACCCTGGGGCTGCAGCGTGCACACTGACCTTGGGGCTACAGTGTATATGCCTGACCTTGGGGCTGCAGTGTATATGCCTGACCTTGGGGCTGCAGTGTATATGCCTGACCTTGGGGCTACAGTGTATACGCCTGACCTTGGGGCTACAGTGTATACGCCTGACCTCGGGCAGGTCACTTAGTCTTCGCACCTCAACTTTCCGACAGGTAAACAGTGCGACAGTCCTCACCCCAAGGGGGCTCTTGTGAGGTGGGAACAGACTACTGCGTGGAACAGTGGTGCGCTCCCTGCAAACCTGTGAACAAATGCTAGTTATTATTACTAAAGAAAAGGCAAGTTTCCTTCCTCTGTATTTCTACTTCTCTCTTTTAGTAGTTATTTCTGGAACACTCTTCCCTTTTGATTCAAGTCATTTACTTGTTATTTAAATTTTCTCAAGTTTCAGCTAGAGACCTTCAGGTACCAAGTACTTGTTATGAACCACAGAAGCAGATGGGAGCTTTGCTCATCCCTGCAGAGCAGCAGTCCCCCTGCTTCTGGGCACCAGGGGCTGGTTTGGGGGAAGACAATTTTTCCCCCGACCGGGGTCGGGGGTGGGGGGATGGTCTCAGGGTGACTCAAGAGCACTACATTCAAGCTCACCTCCTGCTGTGCGGGCCAGTTCCTAACAGGCCCGGACCAGCACCAGTCTGAGGCTGGAGGTTGGGGACCCCGCTACAGAGAGAACTATCTCACAATGTCTATAAACTCTATTTTCACATTAGCATGCCCACGACCAGCAAAGCATACGACTGCTTCTTAAGAGGTTGGATATCTGAGGAAAGCACTGATCACTCAGATGCTATCAACGCGCTTCGCACCTGAGGATTCCAAGGTGAGGTCAGACCGTAACGTGTCCAAGGACGACCAGCTGGCAGTGACACTGAGCACTTCCAAATCTGTGGCTGGTGAAAACTTCAGTTGCAGCTAATGATATTTAGTTCTCCACAAAACAGAGGGCCTTGTTACAGCTCTTCTCCACACTCCCCTCTCCAGTATTTGTCAGCTGAGTTCACCTCCATTCAAATTAAACAAAATAGGAGGTTTTTATTTATTCCAGTATTTCAGACTGAACAGCTCCCCAGAGGTTCTCCATTTACTGGCTTGAGTAATACTATCTTTCCTTTAGTTTATTAGGTTGACGAAGTTAATTCAGGAATAACCTAGGGAACTTTAAGTGATCCTGGGAAGGGCTAACACAGGTACACGTGATCGGCCACCCATCTCTTCTGTAAGTGAGCTATCTCTCAAAGGGAACTGTTTTGCACTTACTTTTATAATTTCTTAGAATACAAAAAAGTACATCGCTAACACGAATCATCTTCATTCTGCTCACGACATGCTTTCAATCCTTTTCTTTATTTCATCTAGTTTAGACCAGGAACAATTTGATAAAACCGTACAACTGTTTATTGCCAAAAACCTCCCCATTTTCATCCGAAATACTACCTGGGGCACACGGCATCTAATTAAATCCGCACAAAGCACGAATTATTGACTAGAAACCAAAATGCACTTCAAAGTAAATATCAATTAATGTGACACCCGATTTCTAGTCACTCCAATGTGCAAGGCTTATGCATGAAACATATTCAATTTATTTTATAGGATTCAATTAGAATACGTCTTATACCTCAATCCAAGAATCACGTCTAGTGGTTTGCTAGCAGTTTGGTTGGGTGTTTTTTTCTAGTTTATTCTTACCAAAAATTTAAAAAAAATCAGTGTTATAAAAAGTTCCTCCTCAAATGCTTCGTTTGAGAAGGATTCTCATTGCCTGATGTTTTTCTTTCTTTCACCCAGTGCGTGGGTCTGTGCTTCCCTTGGCAAGAGCGCTGTCTCCTCTCCCCTGGTTTCCATGACAGTGAGCACCCAATGGAAAACCTCGAAACCGTGGGTGCGGGAACTCCGACGGCAACGTGCCAGTCAACCCGGTCGGTGAGACAAGACTTCAAATAGCAGCGCCGTGTTCGACAGCACTCAACAAATGAGCGTCTCTAGAGCAGCGACCCTTCTCCTGTCCGACAGAAAAGAACAAACGACTCATCCAGCACAAGTCGGGCCAAGCACGGCTCATGCCGTGCGAGAGGAATCAGCCACTGGGTGAGTTCTGTCTCGGAGAGGCCGACGGGCAAAGCTACTCCCAGAGGGAGCCCGGCAGGCAGAGCTGAGGCCAGGAGCCATAATGATGGCGTCCTGGCCACAGTACACTTGGGTGTCATACTTTCAACAAATATTCACCGAGTCCTTCCGATGCGGAGACACTGGGATGGTGCTGGAAACCGGGAAACAGACAGAGTCCGTCCAGTGCGGGGCTGGGAAGCAGAGTCCCAGTGGTTCTCGACAAGGGAAAGACCTCGTCATATCTATCACACGTCAGCCCTCGATGCAAATAATACACATGATTTCCAAAAATAAAAACCACTGACACGTAAGGAAACAGTTTCTTCCCGAGCAACGCAGAGCGCCCGTGCGCGCCGCTGCTGTGCTTCCCGCACACGCCCGGTCCGACCGCCTCACCCCGCGCCCGCCTCACCCCCGCGCCCGCACACGGCCCGTGCCCTCCTGTTGCTCTCAAGGTGTCCAAAACGCGCTGGCCGTGTAACAGATATTTACTTTTTTAATAAAACACTAATTAAAGAAATCCATTCATACTTTACGTTGCTGTGGGTTAAATAATTCAGAGAAACTGGCGAGAGCTAAGAGCGTCCTAGCACTTACTCAGATTTATACACTCGCACTTCAGTTTCCCGTCCCTCACGGGCAGCACCGAGTGACCCTAAATCACAGGCGCCTTCACGAGGGGTCTCCCCGGCAGCACCGAGCCAGCCGCGCCCTGCGCACTGGCGGTGCCGTCCTGTCGCCGAAGCCTCTCAGGTTTCCGGGGCCCTTCTGTCCGGGGGGACCTTGTGGAAGAGGATCCAGGCCCGTCCCACTTGGGTCCCCACGTCCTTCCCCCGCTCTGCCAGAGCCGCCCCAAGAGCGTGCTGGAGGCTTGGGAAGGAAGCGCGCCTGGGGAAGGGCCTCCCGGTCTTCCTCGGTGCTCCGACAATCGGGAGGCGAGAGGGCGAGCTCCCCGGGGGCAGGGGCCGGCCTGGCGAGGTCCCTGTGGCGCCCTCGGAGCTCAGCAGCGTGCGCTCTCGCAATGGCCACTGAGGACAAGGACAAACCCCAGCCCGCTCCTCCGCTCTCCCAGGCAGCCGCCGAGGCTCGGCGCAGGTCAGCGTGCAGCACGCAGGGCTGTCACTCAGCGCGAGCTCCCGCTTGCCCGCGGTGGCAGACGATTGGGTTCTGCATGCCTGGTCTGCACTCTTCAAATATTTATAGGCCGCGCTCTTCGCCTCGAGCCCTGGTTGTCACTTAGCCAAGTTACACATACACGGTTCTTTTCATCTCTCCTTAGAAATCAATCCCGCCCGGCCCCCTCATCCTTCTGCTCGCACTTCTCTCAACTTCCGGCTGCCCGTCTTTCTGGTAACTTATTCTTTTAAAATGCACACACACAACACAGGCATGGAGCCGAGAGGGGCTCTCCTTCCCCATTACAAGGTTCAGTGCCTTTTACGTGCAAAAATAAGATTATTCATCCTCTTTCCTTTTGTATGATCATGTTTTTAAAAATTCAGATTTAAGTCGATGGGCCAATCAGTGCTTTGCAAGAGAAAGGAAGAAAGAGTCTCATCAGCATCACGTGCTCTAAGGACGACGTGGTCACTGCGTTAACTGTCTCACGTGTCCGTAAAACATGCGAACAACGGGATCCAGAGTCGCGTGGTCACAGAGAGGCCACTGCGCCTGCCCCCAGGCGCCTCCTCCCTGTGGACACTGCTAGCTAACTTCCGCTTCCAATGCAAACAATACACACAAATGAATTCCTCCCACTGCAAAAGGAGTACATGAACGAAAATCTCACATAATCCGACATGAGGAAATGCTACCTATAGTCCACTATTCAAAGACAATATTTAACATTTTTGAAGAATTTCGAATACGCCTTTTCTTGGTGTATTGCCCCCCCAAGTCCCAAGAGACATGGCCATACCATGTGCATAGTTGAACACCTTGCTTTTCCCACCATTGTAACAGAAAATTTCATGTCTGCACTGTCTTCAAATTGGAATTAAAAAAAATTTTTTTAAAGATTTTATTTCTTGTAGAGAGGGGAAGGGAGGGAGAAAGAGAGGGAGAGAAACATCAGTGTGTGGTTGCCTCTCATGTGCCCTACACTGGGGACCTGGCCTGCAACCCAGGCCTGTGCCCTGACTGGGAACTGAACCGACAGTCCTTTAGTTCGCAGGCCGGCACTCCATCCACTGAGCCACGTCGGCCAGAGCAAACTGGAATGGTTATTGACCATACATTCTTCCATCAAGTAAGTAGATGTATCCATCAAGTAAGTAGAATGCCATTAAATGGCATTATAAAGAAAATCTATGTGTAAGCCTTTTCTGTATTTAAGGTTATTCCCAGATTCATAGCACTAACATTAAGATAGCAAAGGATACCCAGAAAACAAATGTAGAAGAAGGAAGGAACTAATGCAAGAACTATTTGAAGTGAGGAACACCATCTCAGGCACGAAGGCTTGTCCTGGGCTCTGAGGTCAGCAGGTGAACGCTCACATCCCAGAAAGCTGGTGAAAGCTGCTGGGGGTGGCAGTGCCAGTGAGTTAACTGTGGTCTCACTAGTCTTTCATTTCTTGATTCACACGAGTGTGTGGTTATGCCCTCGCTAAGTGAGCTCCAAGTTTCACTCTTACCCAGCTCTACCATGAGGAGGCGGGTGAGGGCCGTGTAGAAGGTGGTGCGGCACCGGAAGTCGCTGAGACTGTAACTGTCGCTGATGCCCAGGAAGGGGAAGTGTTCACTCTGAAAGCACAAGAGCACCCGAGGTCACACGCACTTCACCTGAACTGCCGGGAAAGTCGGGTCACGAACGAAGGGAAGTAAGACTCACCGTGTGATTTTTTAGCATGAATTTCACAGCATCGATCTTCACAAGCTTTTTTAAAAGGATATAGGTAATAGAAGTTAAGGAACCCGTGGGAATGTGATTGTCTTATCAATAGGTAATAAACCACAAGGTAACACTGAATTGTAATGGCACCGACTTCTATTATGAAGAATAAATATTATTTCTAAAGAATATTCCTATAGACATGTCCTTCATACTATTAAGAATGATAATCTATTATTAACCAGTGCAATTACTTTCCCTATCTTATACATATTCTCATTATGGAAAGAAAGAATGAATTTTATAATTAAGACAAAACTTCTTTACTATTAAAACCTTCAGAGTGGAAAATTAAAATGACCTTTTTTTACATTTTGGGTGTCATGTGAGAATTTTTCACTTAATATTATTTCATAATAAAATAATTGTAAAAGACCCATGATATGCTATGGAGAAAGAAAAATGTTCAATTCTAAGAAAGAACGAGCACAGCTGGAAACCTAAGGAAACGCTGCGTTAGATGAAGGGGCCGGACCTGGGTCCGGGGGCAGAGCCGACCGCACGTCACCAGGCATCGATGCAGAGGCTCAGCGGACTGAGCGTTTCCCAAGAACCTCCTGGGTGCACGGCATTTCGTATTTGTCAGCTCACAATCACACTGTTCAACACGGTCTGCCATTTCTAATCTACAGACAAAACAGGCACCGAGAAACCGGGTGTCTCGCCGAGGACTGCAGAGCTGTGGATGGACGGTGCTGGGGTCTGCACTGAGGGCGGACCCCGAAGGTCGTACTCCTTCTCCTGTCCTCACTGTGGCCCGAACAGCTCAGCTGAAAATGAGAACAACGTTAAAGAGTCATAACTGTGACTGTGGGTCTAAATAATTTCTGGTTGACGCTGTCATCAAAGGAGGGCTGGCAAGGGCTCTGACAACATCGATTCAGGGCACAAGCACCCTCCTCTTTTACTTCGCCGCAGTCACGGCGCCCCTGCCTCAGCCAGGGTCTCTCCGGGCCACTCCCTGCACATTCACCCCTGCCCTTCCTGACGCCTGTGACACCGTACACGGCGCCGTTCGGGTTCCAGTGAGCACACGGACTCCTCTGCTTACGTACATCGTCTCCAAATGCAGAACTCTGTAAACGGCCTCTGCACGGGGCCGCTGAAGCCTAACTCCAAGTGTCCGTCACTGGGGTGGGATGTCACAGGGTGGACAGCACGCTGGGACTCGGGCCAGGAAGCCTGGGCTTTCAGCTCCACGATTCTGTCCAATCAGCCGGCTGAGTCATGCACGGGGCTCTGCACTCAGAGCCTTCGTGTCCCGCCCCAACAGGTGAGGGTGCAACCTAGACTCAGGCTACCTGTCTCCCAGAACCACTGTGAGGGTCCGACGACAGAAATGTCTCCATCCATTATAAACCGGGGAAGAGGACACACCGACGCAGAGGTTAACACATGCGGAACATTGACTACTTGCCAGGTGGATTCTCACAGTCCCACGAGATAGGTGACATCACTTCCGTTGATCAGATGAGGGAACAAACACACAGAAACTCAATGAAACTGCCCATGCAAAACAATCAGAATGACTTAGACTCAAGTCCCTTGGACTCCAAAGCCACCATTCCAGCTGCACATGAAGCCAGCCTGTGCGGCCCACCTCCACGCTAGACCGGACGCTTTCTGGGGGCAGGGCTGCACCTGCACGTCTCCCTCTCTGCACCGCGCTCAGCGGGTGGTGCTCAGTGAGCTGCGGGTTTCTGGCGGCCGAAGGGCAGCAAGACCGGGGCTGGCAGTGAGCGGGTCCTTCCCTGCCTACAAAGACGCAGATTTGATGCCTTTTCCCGGTGAAAATCACTGAGCGGAAGAACTGCCACTCAAACTTCACTCAGTTTAACAGGGCGGGGATCAATACACTAAGAAATACCTTAAGCAATTACCAAATACAATTCTCTTAGAATTGCAGAGTTAAAGTGACAGGGTCTGTGGGTAACAAGAATGCTGCCATTAATAGGAAGCTTCCTGTCAGCGCTGCTAATAAACAGCAAGTCATGTTCTGACAATAGAATATTTATGGTCGCAATAAACAGAACGTTCGCAGGAAGTCCTCCGCTGCCAAAGACACACTTTCGGCAGCACTGCATCCGTGCACTTCGTGCCAAGGCCAGCCTCACGCCTTTTAATTACATTCTAAAGAAAAAAATAATTAAGAACACATCTTTTTTCCATAAAGAAAAACATGAGAGTTCGTCTGAATATTTATCTTCCCTTGTAGGAATTCAATTCAAAGCCGGTTAGGGTCCTCGAGGGGGTCTGTACTATTGTTTTTTAAAAGGCACATGGATGATCGCTTTAGGATCTTGTGTACTTTTATCTCATTCTTCCCGAAAGGACTCGGGCTCTTACGAATGGCACCACTGTATTTGGTGGGCGCGTTTTAGCTGAACAGCTCACGGCAGAAAAGCGTGGCGATGGCGTTCGGCAGTGACAGCACCGGGGGTAGGGGCTGAGAGCAGTGAGGATTCAGGAGAGGTCGCACATCGGGCGTGTGAGTGATAAACGCAAGATTCACACCCGACTCTGCCTGACTGCAGAGTATGAGCTCTTTTCTCTAGGTGACACCCTATCCACTGGATTTCAAGGAGGCCAGCGATTCCGCATGGACCACACCCGGGACTGCACGAACCCACAGCCTGGCTAATACTCCCTCACTACACAAAGTTCCCAGAGAACCCCTTTCTGTGTCCGTGTGGTCACGAAAGCACTGAGGAAGGTGGAGACGGTCTGGGTGACAGCCAGCGGGACAAATGGAGAAGGGCAAGAAACGTTGAAAAAAGGGTGTATCTTAAAGGTGGTTGCAAGTTTTTAAAATCTGTATCCTTTGAAGAGGAGGACGACTACATTGAGAATTAGCTGGTTTCTCAAATTACAGGGGCACCACGCACTTTCACGGAGGGGCTGACGGGCACATCAGCACCGAATACAGCTTCCGTTCACGGTGCCAAGCCTTCACGGGGTACCTACCGTATTCCACCAGACCTGCAGTACCGCTGATTATGAAAAACATTATTTTAGGTGCTACGAAGACAGGGGAGGTATTTAGAAATATCATAGATTGTAAGACATCTTATTCAGAGAAGAATTAAAGTGTGAAGAAACGTCGGTCTGAGAACCAAAGGAGTGGTGCAATAAATATACCATATTTACTAAACACAAGAGGGCACGTGGCGGTACTGATCCAGGCAACCACTTTAAAGCCACACGTGTTTATGAATAGTTTTCACAGACAGCGTTAGACCCCAGTGATAAGAGGAAGTTCACGAGTAAGAAAATTACATGTCGGAAATCACTGCAGATAGACGACAGATACAAGGTCTGATCACTAAACTATTAGTTCGCCTATTTCACAAACAGGATTATGCTCATAAGCCCTACTGGGCTAAAAAACCCAAACAGCTATAACCAAAAGGAAGTATCTTATGGGATACTGACAATCACTTACAAGGAAGAGGGGTTACGGTCTTGGTCATTCAACGAGAGGGTGACAACAGGTTCAAACGTCCACAGGGGAAGTTCTGAAACCCCAGAGGGGAAAAAAAGAACCCCAGTCTCTAACAACTTACAACCTACCCGGAAGGAGTGCTAGCCCATACCAATCTGTATTATATCCATCCTCAGATACGTGAACCAGGTGTTCAGGAACATCGAGAAAATTAAAGATGATAGGAACAGAAGGGGGGCGGTTAATTTAGTCAGCTCCTACTTATACGACAGGGTCTGTGGCACCAGGTACTTTATTTTTGTTAGATAACACAAATACATTGTTATCCATTTATTATTTTATTTAGTTCACACAAAATCCTAAAACGTAGACAATATTCCCTTTCTATTGAAGAAGAACCTGAGCCCCAGAGAAACGACATGCTTGTTTGAGTTCTTTCAGTTAGCTCGGTTACTAAGGAGCACAGCCATTGCCAGGTGGCTGTGCTAAGTCTCCAGCAAGGCCGCAAGAACAAATTTTTTTTAAAGAGACCGAATCGAGTTACAATGGGCCAGATGATGAGAACAGCCTACGCGGTGATTCAGTGAAAGGTCATGCAGGGGGTCAAGGGGAAGGCAAAATACATTTCCCTGGCCCAAGGAAAAGTCTCGAGTACAAATTGTGGTTGAGTGGTGGATCAGAAATTAGTTGCGGGAACTCAATAAGTCAAGTACCGTTCAAGGACTCGAGTTCAAATCAATAATTTTACTTTGACCTGAGAAGCAAGTAGAAGTAATTCTGGGCTTTTGGGAAGAGAAATGATCAGATTAAAACGATACTCAAGGAAGGTAATCTTGTGAAGCAAGAATTTAAAGAACCGAGTGAAGCTCTGAAAACGCAGGCTACGGAAGGGCAGACAGGATTCCCACGCTTGATGCTAGTACAAAACCAAACAGAGCAGACAAATCACGGGGTGCCTTCTCCACAGGTGAGAGAGACAGGAAAGAGAAAAACACATCAACATTTCTTTTGATGAGAAATGTTAACAGAAGTATGCCTGAGGGGTGTACGCCGAAGCTGGTTTTATTTAACATTCTCCAGACCATCTGGAGACGGTGGGGTCCCGTGAAATAAAACAATACATTTTAATACTGTTCCACCGAAGCAGAGTCACTCCTATTTATTACTAAATACTTCCTGTGACGGACATACCCACTTTTATTTCCATCCTGCACCCTTATTTCCTTCTAGACCTCTGTTTCCTTTCTCGTCCCCCACACTTCGCTGACCCCAGCTCCTCCGGGATTCACGCCCAGTGGAGGGCAGACCAGCAGCAGGGCACGGATGTCTGGTTTGCATGTTACTCGCATGCTGAGCGGCTCGTACACGAGCTATGTCTAAATGACCTTGAATAAAGAGCGCTCCCTCAAAGCCACCACATCAACATGTCACATACCCGCTTTATGTGCAGTGGGTAGATTTCCAGAAATTTCGTATGTCATTTGTTTGGGTTACATTTTAAAAAAGGAGACTGTTAATAATACAATGTTCTTGGAGCTCTCAGTAGAGATACAGGAAAGGAAGTCTGGAGTTGGGGCCAATTCTAGAAAGGCAGGGCCCGCGTCTCATTTGTCCTTCTGCCCCGTGCGGAGCAAATGCTTAATTAAGATTTGTTGAATTGAAGGAGGCCAGTAAGATAAAGTAAATCATTCAGAGGAGTATGAAATTACATGTTTAAATCATTATTTATTCTTACTCAATGTTAAATTTCAGTAAGGATGCAATACTAGTCATTGCACTTGAACTGGCAAGCACCAAAGACAGATGCAGCTGGAAGGGGCTTGGGGTGGAGGAAGCAAACCATCGGGGTGAGCTAGAACAGGAGAGGAGAGACCCTGGCTTGCAAAAACGAAAACCACCGAAATAAATAGATAAACAGATCTACGATGCATGTGGACCGAAATGATATTCACGAAATCCTGGCGGTACAGGAACTAAGGGGACGGTCTCAAAGTCCTGGAGAGTTAGTCTGAAGCCAAATGAAAGGAATTAGCGTTTTACACGACAGATAACCTGGGCCAGCCTCGTGGGTGTGCAAGCCGTGCTCTTGCACGGGGTCTTGTGCTCGGTTCAGTGCTCTGCTGTCGGGGTCCTGAAATTCTCAGTAACTTGGGAACGAGTGTTCCCTGATGTGTTCATTTCGTGCTGGGCCCTGCAAATTAGGTAGGTGGTCCTGGAATAACATGGATGAGCCATCAATCCGAAGAACTGTTGAAGTGAACAGTAACGACAGGGTAAAAATGAGTTTGGCTCATTTCATGAATTAGTGCAGAGCTCTTTCTTAGGGTCTGTTGTAAAAAGCTGAAGATATTTGGGGGTTTTCTTAAACCTTTGAGGATGATGTAATGAGGGCAGCCGCCAACAGAGGGCCTGGTGGAAAATACAAGTCCTTCCTCTTTATTATCTATCCGAAGCCCATGCTACTGCTGTGAATTCGAGCAAATAAACAAACTGCAGTAGAGATATTCATCAGTGATCTCTCAAAGGGAAAAATCTGGAATAACAGGGAGCAGACAAAACTCTGGACGAAACGCGAGCCTTCCTTCCCTCGCTCTCAGTGTTCCACACCAGTCTGGCCTGGCTTCCTCCTGCTCTGCACGGCCTCAGTTTCTCCGGTTTCCCCGGCAGCTCCCTTGTCGTAATCATTGGAACGGGCCCACCCTCTCCCAGTCAGAACAAACTGGAACTGCTGATCGGGACACACCTTGCAGAGGAGAAAGATGCTGAGCCGGACTGCGCAGGGCCGCCCGGGACACGGCCGTCTCAGCTCCCGCGCGCAGGGACGAGCTAGGGAGAACCTGGAAGTCTTGAAACGTTGTCTTGGACATTGAAAGAGCATATTAAAAAGCTACTCAGATATATTTGCTAAAGAGATTTTACATGCCCCATGTAATGTATTTGATTGGAAAACAAGCCTTCTCTCAAACAAGGCCTCTGGGTTTTAAAATTACCGAAGCCTTAACAATCTGGAGAACCTCAAAGGTGGCAAACAGAAACCATGGGGTAAATCGCAGCAGGCTCCCTCAGGTCAATTCCAGGGCCTTCTCGTCCCGGCAGCCTCCTCACACACACCTTGTTCAGGGAGCTAGACTGCGGGCAGTTCTCCGAGTCTCGTCCCTGGGCCCCCAGCGGTCACCCGAGACTTGCTGGAAATGCAGGTTCTCAGGGCCCGGCCAACACCTCCTAACACCTCCGTTCCGGTGGGGGGGCCTGGCCGCTCTGCTCTACAAGCATGCAGGTGCCCGGAGGGCTACCGAGTCTGAGACAGCTGCCTCGGGCAGGTGAGCACAGGCTCTCTTACGTGTCCTAAGAGCAAGAATCTTTTGGGATTTCAATTTCCAAACAAGCGGCCAGATAAAAAAACACGGAAGTTCAGAGACTGACTTCGAAGCCCATACACACTGAGTAAGATTCACCACAAAGAAATAAAAACAGAAAAAACACAAAAGTACCTGAAAACATGCATCATAAAGGCATAGGGAGCACTTCAAAGCTTCGTGGCAAAATAACGTGCTTTTCATTTGTTATTAATATTTTAAATACACTTATTTTAAATATTAATATAGAAACAGATTTACATTAATAGGGGGTCAATCAGTGACAATTTTTCGCCTGCATAACTGTTCCTATTTCTGAAGAATGCCATCTTATTTTTAACACAGAAATAATGCATTGCTTTAAAATCAGGACCTGAAAATACATTACAGTACAGAAATCGACGGGAAACAACAGAACATGCATTAGGATCCAGCAACGGCACTGAAGCGGGCTCGCCACTCACATATTCCATTATGTAAATGAATTCAAAGATATTTCATGACTGATCAGCTGGAAGGGACATAATGATTTATAATTCAAATAACTGAGCACTGAAATCAAATTGAGCTAATATATATTTCTAAATATGCAAACCTGAAATAATTGTTAAAAAATATAAATCAATGTACCCACATTGAAACCATTCATATCCCTTAGTTTAAAATGTTATAGCTTTTAAACTTTTATCTAATAAGTTTTCTGGAAATATGATTTTTTATTAACTTCAGGAAGTGCTCAAAAGCAATAAGCAGCTTATAAAATAAAAGGTTATAATTTTAGAACTAAAGAATGGATACAAAATACAAGGCGATAGGAAGAGAATCCTAATAGCAGAAACAAATAAATTAGGCATTATGCAAATTACACTAAAAAGAATACAAATCAAATTAATTTTGCATTAGATTTCAATCTCCACCTAAAAAGTCGGTGAGTCTAAACAACAGACATGTACGATAGGACAACACAGGCTTCTTTGCAGGTAAGATGCTCTCAAAGTAATTCACCGTGAAAAGGCCAGCATCTGCAATACTAGGAAGTACTTATAAACCACTTCATATGTTAGAAATAAAGAGTATTTCAGCATTATTATTTAAAAAAATACAGGTTCAGTGTTTTTTTAATAAGAAAAAACACGTATCTTAAGAAGCGGAAATGACCACCGGAATTGGGCTGTGCATCACTTTCCAGTAAAAAGGAAAAGCAGCCTGGACAGGTGTAATTTATCATTTTTCTGATTTAATATCAAAGAAATATATTAAAATAATAAAAAGAATCCTGAAATCCTCAAAATTTGTAGTGATAAATAGCCCTCCCTGACTTTATTGCATTATACCTACTAACAGAAATATTGCACGGTGGATTTTGCCAGACAAGGACGATTATTTTCCAATAAAAAGTTGCATATTAAATTCCAGCACAAAAGTGGGTGTCTAATACTTTGGAAATCTTTTCTGGTTTGCCAAGGAACACAATTTTAAAGTTAACTAATACAAACGTATTCGGGAAGTGAACCTACACTAAAAATTTCTCTCCAGTGCCACCCGTTTGCAGAATTTTACGTCCGTATTAAAACATGAACGACTCTTACTGCTTAATTAAACCAACATTTGTTTTTCAAAACTTCTCCATGTTTGATGGATAACATATAAAAGGCGAACTACACAATTCTCTCTCACTGGTAGAAACACGACAGCATTACGAGTTACAACCTATCAAGAAAAGAAGGTTCCGGGTTTAGATTTGAAAAATCTTCTAAGGAGAGTGCGCACCGGGGAATCTAGGGTAAATAACGCACTGATCTGGTGAGGCCGAAAATCAAAAAAGGGTTCAAAACTTAAAATTTTCTTCCTATTCCTTTGTGCCTCTTCACTGATGAAAATAATACCCTTCAACTGAACAATGCTGAATATGTATCTACTCTTAGGAATTCAGTTTCTATCAGGTAGTGTTTTTAGAACATTTTGACCTTCTTAGAATTAGTTACATGCTTTCTTCTAAAAAAAAAGCTTCCGGACAATCATGTAAGATCATGGGCGAAAACACATGTGGTTGCATACTTTCTTAAACAACAATTTATTAATCTGGGTGCGCATAAACCAGAACTTTAGTTAGGAATCTATACAGTCTTTCATCTACAATCATTCTGACTCTGAATGTAGGCCAGTACGAAGCTAATGTAAATCTTTCAAAAGCATGCATTTACAGATAAGGCTAAATAAAAGGCTTTTTTAAAAAAAGTGCAAAAAATATAAACAAGGAAAATACCTAGCCAATAGCGTGCACTTGTTAGGTTGCTTACACAAATGATCAGACACACAGCAAAAAGGATATCCGACAGAAAGGTCATTCAGGAACTGGAGAGTCCTTGAGATCACGGGCTCACATCTCCCCCAGTATTTAAGGTTTGTCACACTGAATATGAAAAAAGAAGTTGTGAACTGTAAGTCAGGGATCCAGAAGTACACATGCATTCGTGTAAGCCAGAAGACCTAAATCACAAAATACCAATGGAATACTTTTTATTTTATTCTTTTGACGTAGCACATTCAAAATGATAAATAATCAATGCACAATGGGCACTGCCCTCCAAATGGTATATAATTCTATAAATTTAGTTTTGTAAATTAAGAAGCTGCCTAAGTGTTTCAGGGGAGACACATTAAGCCCGTATCTAAAACACGTATTTGGGGACCCAGCGGGACTTACGAAGGAAGTCAGGTTCCCAGTCACCACCAAGAAATGAACCGTCTAACTTGCAGCTCCAGACTCACTTCTTAGGATCATGACTGTTTATCTAGCTTTTACTATCTGCCAGCAAGACAGCGCTACTTCTGCGTCACACAGACACAGGGGACACCACGTGGAGGCAGCCCAGGGTAGGGTAAGTGCACAAAGTCACATTTCTAGCCAGACAATGGTGGATTCTGCGGACACTGTAAGGATAACTCCGTGTCCACCATGACCGTGTCCCCGACAGCACCGGTTCCTCCTGGAGCCGATGCCCACCCTGCGTCGAGGCCATCAGGTCTCTCTCAGTGATTCCAGGGCGCAATAATCCCTTCCCCCGCGCTCTTCCAAACTGGGCACTTTCTTTTTAATTAAAAGAAATACTGCCCAAGTGGCTTGGAGAGTCAAAGCCTGCACACTTTCCAAACCCACGTTCTGGTGCTGCGTACTGCAGTGGTTAGAGCCCCTGACAAATGCCAATGTCTCCCGGATGGTGAACCTTAAATTTGAGAAATTCAGTTTTAATTAAAACCATGCCTTCTAAGAATTAAAGCCTAATTTTTACAGCCATTTATTAAGAAAATGAGTATTTACAGAAAGATTCAGACAAAGTGAAAAGGTCTATTAGATTCGAACCAGCAACAGCAGCAGAGAAAAATCCAAGAGGCAAGGCAGGAACTCACATTTTCGTCACGAACGTCTCCAGAACGTGGCTGTCGTCCATTATCCCCAAGACTTCCGACATGCGGGCGTACACCTGCGTGAAAGCATTCCCTTGTTAAAGGCTTCATCATCAGCATGTATTTTCAAAAGGCTATCAAACGGAACAAGTGTAAGAGTTAATGCACTGTTTCACCCAGACTAAAGTTGGGAATGGGGGGCAGGGAGCAGAGCGAATCAAGAATTAAAAAAAATGTTTATATCTCCCCCAAATACAATTAAGCTCCCCCAGATACAGACGACAGGTCTTACTTTCCATGTTGAAACCGAAAGCCCGGGCTCAGGAGCTCTCTGCGGAGGACACCAGGGCCTGGGAACCCACTGAGCTTCCGGTGAGAGCGGGGGCTGCAGAGTTTGCGTGCGACGTTTCCGTCCCAACCCGGGCCACCCTGAGCTGATGATAAGCACACACCCACTTCACTGGGAACCTGCCCCCGGCAGCCAGTGGAACATTCCCTAATAGCCTGGCAAAGCCGAGAGGTGGGTTAACACCTCCGCACTGCCCGACGCTCTGGTGTGACTCCAGGTCATCCCTGCCAGACGCCAGCTGTACGGGATTTCTCTTCTACGACTTGCCCCCCTGTGCCTGCGGTTTCTCACTTTCTAGGGACCACCCCCTTTCCGATGGTGTGGCTGCTCAGCTGCCACTCTCTCTGCCTCTACGTCCGCTACAGCGCGACACACTGCCATTGGTCGGGAAGGCGAGCAAGAAACCACAGGGCACCCAGAGTTGCAGGGTTGTGATACAGGGGAGCAAAGCTGTTCACTGCCCAGGTCTCACGTTTGGATTTTAAACACTATTCAAACCAGAAGTTTACGTTCCAGGCTTTTAGCCTAAGTGCTGTGACCAAAAGCTCCTCAGGCCCGCAGAGTGCACTAGAGACGGGCAGAAGGCGGGCGGGCGCGGGGCGGGTGGGGAAGGCCAGAGGAGGAGAGAAGGTGGCGGGAGAAGCCGGGGACCCACGTTCCTGTTGCCTTTTCTGCTGACTTCCGAGCCCTCAAAGAGGCATTTCAATGACGGTATCTGTGGCTCTGCTCGTGAGGGTAGGCCTTTGCCTCTTCTAAGACTGAGTCCGCGTGTTTGTAGGATGTGTGGGGAAAAGAGGAAACTAGGAAGAGAGAACCCAGGCAAGTTCATCACTACTCGTCCTCAGTGACCAGCAACCTTCGCGCACAAGGCTCAACCGAAGAATCCTAGGTAGAAAGGGAAGCTTCCGCACCTCACCGCGACCCTGAACCGCTCTCTCGGGTGGGAGTGAGTTCGGTCCCCCAGGAAATCTCCTAGTGAGACGATGAATGGCACAAGAGGCCCTTTACAGCTTGACCCTGACCTACCTCTCGTCTCCCGTTTCCCCTCCCCCTGAAGCCACATGAAATGCTGCTGGAACACTGAGGCTGCTCACGCAGTTCTGGAACTCTGTGAGCACACATGCTTTCATCTTGCCTGACTCTGCCTTCTTCCTCCTCTTCCCGATTCCCATGCGAAAGCCATCTCTCCTCTGACAGCCCCCGTCCCTCCCCAGCGGAGGCACCCTCTCCTGTGTGTCTCCACAGCGGCTGGCTGGTCCCTCCATCACGGGACTCTGCACGCTGTGACTGGGTGTCCGCCCCCCACCCCCGAGACACTGTATTGCTTTTCTGTAAAATCAAATTTTACACTTTCAAGGCTCTACAAATGCTTTTTGTTTTTAAGGACAAAACTCAGGATTATTCTAATTTTGATTTTACCCATGCCACACTGAATACAAACATAACTAAAACGTGCTTTTAAACACTGAACCTATTTTAAGTTAAACAATGTTTTTTTTTTATTAATAGTTCTTACGAGCGAGTTTGCTATTGTGTCCCTGCCACTCAAGAGAGGAGCAGACGGGACAGCGGGCCTGTTGTGCTCTGCTGTCAAAACAGTTCCTCGGAGCGTCAGGCTCGACCCAATGAGATACTAGAAAAAACAGTCAACATTGACACATGGCGGTGCTTTAATCCACAATTATCCTTGTAACTTGCACCATTCCTTTTATCATCCATTAGCTTTGATTCCCATTACCCCATCTAGAACTGTGTCAACGCTTTCGCCCCCCGGGACTTCTCTCCTCTGCTAGGGTCTGACAGTCAGGCTGGAGCACTAAACAGGATCATTACCTCTTAAATCCACTTATCTGATCTACTGAATAGTAAATTGAAAAGCTCATTAAGAGCAACAATCTGATTTGTTTTCCAGTGTGACAGGGTCATTTAAAATCAATGTATGATTACTGCATTTCTTTTAAAAGGCTGTCTCACATTTTCCAAGGCACCTTGTCACTCAGAGAGCACACAGAAAATATGAAAATGTCTTCAAACATTTGGAATTTAATTGCGCCACAGACACACATAATTTGGGGGTGGGAAGTGATGTGTCCAGTGAGAAAAGATCTATAAAACTGTTTATCATAAAACGAGCGAATGCAAGTTCTCTACGGAGAAAATTCTAACACACTATTTATGGGTTTTGACATTATCTAAAACTTCTATCATTTCATCAAAAATAATTTTTATGACAGAAGAAACTACATCGTGAGACTGATTTTAAGAAACGATACAGACAGCACAGGAATGCGAGGCGAGGTAAAAACTCACTTTAGTTCACAGATTCCTAATCTTTTATCTCAGAATTAAGATAATTTGATCACAGTGAAAAAGGAGCAAGAAATCTAAGGCACAATAGACGAAGCTCAAGGTGCTGTCCACCCGTCTTGGGAGGGGGCGACGCCGCAGAATGAGCAGTCCTGGCTCGGGCTGTGTGTTTCACGTAACCAGAGATGCTCACGTCGTGACCCAGCTTCTGCCTGTCGGCCGTGCCTTCCTCCCTCTCCTCCTCCGTTTCCAATACACCTGCATTTCTCCACTAGACTGCGAGCTCCCTGTGGGCAGAGATGATGGTGTCTTTTATCTCTCATGCCCAAGACTCAATAAATGTAAAATGGCTAAAATAAAGTAATATTAAAATGTTAATATGGGCCGATTCCATTTCATTCAAAGAAATTTTTAACAAAATGAAAACCAACCCGTAAAAGGTTCTTTTAGAGTAACTTTTTCCTAAAAATAATATTCCCCAAACTCCACTCACCAGAGATGACCACTGGCAAAATTCTGTTATTTAAAAAGATGTGGTTTTAGTGCTTAAATAGTATTTCTGGAAGAAGCTCTTCCTGTGGATCCAGTGAGAGGAGCTGTGAATACTCTGAGCACCCCACCCCGCTGTTCCAGCCTGTTCTTGGCACTTCTCATGTTATATAAAAGAATACGATCTCGTTTCAGAATTCACTTTCCACGTGAATACGGAAGGTTCATTTTCCTCCATGATTTCAAACACGTGCTGTACTATTTCCCTGGCATTTCAAGCATGTGCCGCCCGAGGGCAGGGCAGGTGCCTGTTTCTCTTTACACACCCGGAAGTACTTGTAAGGACTGTCCTGAGGAATTTAGCAACGAAGGAAAAGCACAGGTTCTAGTCCCAAAGGTCTGGATTTGCATCCCAGGTCTACAGCTAACCAGGTGTTACTTAAACTCTCTGAGTCTCGGTTTCCTGCCTGGACACAGGAAAAATGATCCTAACGCCTTCTTGGTGGGCTTTCGGGAAAAATAAATGATGATCCCTGACACTAAGGCTGGCATTTAGTAGTCACTCAACAAACGCTGCTTCCCTTCCTACTCCATTTCAGGAACCTTTTCTCACCGCAGGGGCTCAAGGTGTCTGCCACTGCCTTTTCAAGAGAGGTTCATGCCCTGGCTGGCGTAGCTTAGTGGATTGAGCGCGGGCTGCGAACCAAAGTGTCACAGGTTCGATTCCCAGCCAGGGCACATGCCTGGGTTGCAGGCCACGGCCTCCAGCACATTGATGTTTCTCTCTCTCTCTCTTTCTCCCTCCCTTCCCTCTCTAAAAATAAATAAATAAATCTAAAAAAAAGAGGTTCATGAAAAATAACATAAAAATAACAGTGGGGTGAGAAGGGGCTTACCTTGAAGATTTTGACATGGCACAAAGAGGGTTAAAACAAACAAAACTTTAAAATTTGTGTTAACTTAGAAATCTTTTCATATCTATTCAGTCAACACACTCTAGTCAAGGTCAGAAATGGCATCTGGTGCAGGTAGAAAGCTTCAAAATTTCATGATACAAAACCCAATTCTCTCCAGTTCTAATTAGTTACTGAGAAGCTAGAAAACTGGCCCGTTTTAACCAGCCGTCCATCTCTCTAGCTCGAGATACAGGAAGTTGTTAGAAAGGTAAGACATTACCATTAACACAGACTTGAGAAGGCACGTTCCTATAGAACTGTTTCACCATGTTGGTTTTCTTATCTCTACTCATCTTACATGAAGGTGATTTCGGTTTTCAGAAAAGAGCCTTTGGCTATGCATGCAGTACCTCAACGACCGAGAGAAACGTCTCCACCTTCTCAAGTAGCCAAACAGCAGACACTGCGTGTGCCCACGCAGGGAACCTAAGTGGCCTTATTTCTGGTTTTCAAAGAGGAAGCAGATGAGATAAGAAATCCAGACAAGGGAAGAAACATACAAATAGCAATAAGAGTTTGAGCTGTAAGTTCAGTTTAATAAAGAACAAAAGTATGTGCTGTGATAATTTTTAAATTACTTTCTTTTTCCAATCCTAATCCTGGGTCTTCGGTGTCTGCAGTGCTGTCTCTAACATTCTGGTTATAACTTTGAAGAAACTAATTATGTCAATCCTTAAATTTGAAGTAGATTACAGAACTGGGAAACCCGGGATATTAGTTCCTAAAGGTTGTATGGATATATAATGACAGCCACAGAAATTCAATAACAGCCCTCTATGAAATGTACTCAAAAGCACCACATGAAACAAATTAAAAAGAACAATGAATCGCTCATTCTGTGCAAATAAGAAAATAAAAGAGAAAAACTGGTTCTGCAGGTTTTCATAAGAGTTGTTATAATGAATTAAGATTTTGGATAATGAATCTTTGGAAAATTACAGTAAGTTAATACCCTTAGGCCTTCTATAACTGCTCTCAAAGAGCTTTTGCAAGCAGGCGCCGCACAGAAAATTAGCAGTGCTGCGAAAATCAACAACAGAGTATTCTGCCATCGGATGACATATTCCCGAACCAGTTCAGTCTCAAAAAACCCACATACGAAAATGCAAAATTGGTACCACAAAATGAAAAAGAATTGTTGTGGATTTTAAAGTATTACTGCAATCTACCGAAATGACTTATCAACCAAGACTGTTTTTAGCGGGTTGTAATTTGGCAAAACAAAATTTGTCACCAGAAAGGATCTAATATAATGAAAGAATTAACGCTCCTTCTGAAAAGAAGTTTGGAACTGAGTGTGAACTCATTTGTTATGAGTAAGAGGCCGGTTTCCATTTGTTTTGCCTTAGGGTTCAAGTGCCCTTGAGGTCGATGCAGTGCTTTCTGTGAGGGAGAGCCACTTCTGGACGGGCGGGGAGGAGAGACGGAGGAGAGGACAGAGCGTCTGATCACTTGGAGGTAAAGGGCCAGGAACTAAAGATACTGAGCTCTTTCATCAGCAGTGAAGCAGAATAAAACACGATCACCACAGTTACCTCACGACCACAACAGGAGAATGAACAGTACCAACATCATGGCCACATATTAACGATACAAACTTAGTGACAGTGAGTAGATCCACACCAGTCTTGGTTGATTAACTTTTCCATATCGTCTAACATAACATCACAAAGTATAGGACCAAAATCACAAGTAAAAAAAAATCTTTTGCCAGGATGTGACTTTAAAACCGTAAGATGTGTTGGAAAGCAAGCGGCGAATGTTTAGGAATCCGCTTGCCTTAATCAGAGTGGCATCTGATGAAGAAAAGCTGGCTGTGGGAGCACAAAATAAACACGAACGGGAAGTGTTTATTTCAGCGGGAATACCCGAGCCCGCCATCTGCGGTGGCCATCTTGCTGAGGGGACACATACCTAACAAATCTCTTAAGAGGCACTCCCGATCTGCTTGAATGAGCCCTTGTGTGAGGCCACTTGGAGCCACCCCTCTGGCCGCACGGCTCCTCCGCTCCGCTTCCTGTGGCACAAAGCAGGCGCCCCGCAGGCTGGGGTGCAGGGCTGCCTGCTGCCTTGCGATAATCCCCTCTCCCAGCAGGGGCCTCCACTGATGCATGGCTAAGAACATGCTTCCTCTTTTGCTTGCACCCCAGTGGGGTTTCCATTCCTCGCTTGGGCCCGAATCCAGACTGCTGAGGAAGGGCTCCAGATGCTGCCAGAGATACGCTGGGATTAGTGTCTAAACAATCATTTATTAGAAAGAGGCACGCAGGTACAGGGCGAAAACCAGCAATGCTGGCCATCGTGGAGAGATTCTTTCCCTCCCGCCCCCGCCCAGACCTGAGGTCTAACTACCACCTGTTCAACAGAAGCTGGCCGTTTGCCTCGTGTTCCTTCAGGGAGCCCCTGACTAAGGATCTCCACCAGCATGAGCCTAATGTCTCCCGACAGGCCCTCGCTAGCCAAGAGGGACCCGGGTCGAGTGCACCAGTTACTGGTCACGGGATCCGCAGCCCGCAGAAAGGCCCCTGCGGCGCGGCCAGCTGAAAGCCAACCAGAGAGGATGGGCAGTGTGCGCTTGTCCTGACACAGCTTTGCTCCCGCTGGCTGCCAACTCGCTCCGAGTCGGGGGCCAAGCTTCTGTTCAACTGGTCTTCTGTGGCGGAAGCCAGGGCGAGGCCCTGGGTAAATCTTCCCAAGAGCGTGCAGCAAGAAGCTAACCGTGGCTACGGCACAAGGCTGCTGGGAGAAGGCTTGATGGATTTTGGTAGAAAGTTTGGAGACCACGATTTCAAGGGGCAGTTAAGGCATTTCATTTACAATTTTTTTTTTTGCAATAGCGATTTATAAGATGCCACGATTAGATCTTGGAGCACAGAAGTGGACGCTGGATGAAGTTTCTGAGAGGGTGATGGTGCAGGACGCCAGCAAAGAGGAGATCTGTCTTACGCCAACGCCCCACACTGCTCAGAGGTGTGGGCCAGGGGCGGCTTCTGGCGCCCGGGACACAACGTGCAGTAGACACTGCTGCTCAGTGACAGGCGCCAGACAAAACTCGCTCCTTCCAGGGATGAATACCTGGTCAGAACTGGCGGCTTCAGAAACGTTATGTCCCAGAAACTCGGGCTGCTTTCTCGCTCTGCAAGCGCACTAAACGGCCTTGGCAGTTAATACGGCTTATTAGCTGACCAGGGGACATTTGGTTATAAAACACCCACACTGCAGGGTTTGTGCCGCACGGAAGGGGTATCCCTACAAAGGTCACTGCCCGCACGTGCCTGTTGTGGTGCTGGGAATCTGGGGCTATGGTGAGACAAACATAAGCACTGGTGACCCACCACGATAACCAGCAACCCGACTCACCTTCACTACTTTCCAAGCCTTCTCGGGAACTCTGGACACATCACTCCTCAGGCGTACCACCTGAAAAGCACAGAGTTTAGGGACCTGCCACCTGGCATCAGAGGTAAGGGAAGAGCAGAAGGCCTTCCCAAGGTCAGGTACAGGGAGAACGGGGCTCCGGATCTTTGTGGCTGCCACTTAACATACTCCTGGGACCTGGATTTATTCTGGGGGCCGGGAGGAGGGGCCTGGTGGGGTGCCGTTCGAAGCCTAGACGTGGTGAGATGGATTCCATGGAATAGGTCAAGAACCCAACGACTAAAGGACAGCCCTAAAAAAGACCCAGTTATAAATAATATTGGCAGGACTGTGTAAAAGAATCTGTTAGTACTGCTGCTTCCTATGAGACACTCCCTTCACGCAAGTGTGGCAAGGGGGGTTCACGATGTAAGCAGGGTAAGCCGCCTCCTCACGGGTGAACGTGCATCTTTCCTACACGGAGCTCACCTCTGCAGGCAGTCAGGGGGTGAGCAAATCACACCGAGTCTCCCGCCACTGAACCCAAGTCCCACACACACACCGCCCCCAAACCCTCCGACAGCGCACCGAACTGTGGGCACCCACCGTGGGGGCTATGATCTTCGCCAGGTCCCCGCTTCCACGTCTAACATCTTTACTTTATTTACCCGCGTTTTCTGATGACATAACTATTTTTGCCTCTACCTTGCTTCCCTGAAACATGTCCCATTTTCTAGATGACTTCTGCACCTTTCTCCTAAGAGATCTCACCGCTGATCCCCCGGGAAGGACCGCCTGACATGAGGAGTCGAGGGGTGAAGGCTCAGGGAATCGATGGGGGGAGTCGACGACATCATCTTGTCCAATCAGCTAGTTTCATTCCTATCATCATAGTCTCAAATTGTACTCAGAGGTCTTGTTCCTACAGTCCCTTGCCCCTTTCCATTTGTCCCTCACACTAGCCTGGTCTGCGACAACTGTAACTCGCCCACAGCGGTGGGTCAGCGCTCACCTCCCGATGGGCCACGAAGGCGCTCGGCCACCAGCGTCCGCCCGCTCCGAGCAGGCGGTGCCCGCGGGGTGGGCCGGGCCGCCTGCAGCCCGGTGTCTTCCCAGCGAACACTCTCTGTCGGACACCAGCTACGACACAGGCAAACAACCCCAATGGGGGACACGGCTGCCGAGCAAGCACATTCCTCTCTCAGTGAGAAGACAGAAATGCGGGAGCTAACTGAGCCTGTGCTTCGGACGACGGCACCTCGGAGGGGACACGGAGAGTGTGCGCAGTGCCGTGCGCAGAGGGGTCAGAGTCAGAGTCAGAGTCAGAGTCAGAGTCAGCCTCCGCCACCGGGCAGCCCGGCACAGCGCTTGGCTGAACAGGCACTGAATGAACACTGCTATTCCATAAATTAACTCTATCATCCTGGTCAGAATTAATTAGCCTTCCTTCTTCATCTGTAGAATGGAAAGAATAGTGTCACAGCCAGCACTCTCACAGACTGGAAGGGAGTCTGGTAGAGTGGTTGAGGACAGATTCTGAAGACCAAGACGAGCTGGATTCTACCACTGACAGTGACTTAGGGCAAGTTCCTTACCCTCCAAACCTTAGTTTTCTCAAATATAAAATGAGGATGAGACTAGGACCTAATTTACAGAATCTCTGAGAGGATTAAAGTAGTTAACTTATGCAAAGCATGCAGGCCTTGCACACAGTAACATTTCTGTTAGCTATTAGTAGTAGTAGTAGTAGTAGTAGTAGTAGTAGTAGTAGTATTGTCATCACATGCTATATTACATACAGCACTGCCAGCACAGGGTCAGAAACACTTGGGAAGGTTTTAGGACAGAGTAAGCACCAAATAAACATTAGCTATTAGCCACTAGAACAGGTGGTCAGTAAACGGCTGCTGTTATTATTAAATAGTATAGAATGAAACACCGGTCTGACACTAAGGTTAGGAAGCACACACCACGATGACCATCTCTTTCCTTTGCGCTTTGTCTGAATGAGACGCTCGAAAACAGGTGTGCGTTCTAAGCCGGTACGAGAGTAGCGTTAGTAAAGGCTAAAGAAGAGTGGTTAGAAGGGAAAGGGCCCTTGGGAGAGCCGGCCTGACTCCCAGTCCCCTATCTTCCGCCGACAACTGGGACGTGACAGGAGGAGGAGCAGGAGGAGGACTGGCGGGCGGGCGAGGAGGCAGGAGGAGGACAATCCTGAGGCGGCAGGTGCTGTCTTATCTCAAGGGCTCGTTTGCATCCCCGAAGTTCCCAGTTCTGAGGCCCCGCCCTCCTCTTTCGGAGCCATCACAAATTCCTATTTCCTGGGTAAGTTCTCAGCCTACTGGGTGACTGGATGATGGACATCCCCGTGACCAACAAATTATTGACATCTCCGATTCAGTGAGTCCACCCAGTTCTCCCAGTTTCTTTGGTAAATTGGTGCACGCAGACAATGGGTTTCCGAACCACCACTGGTTCAGCATTATCGGGAGTTCTTGGTAAAGGGCCAAATGCACGGTACTGGATGGAAACTAGACTTTCGGTGGTAAGTGTGCCATAGCTTATACAGAGAGTGAATTACGTTGTCCACTTGAAACTTACACAATGTGATTAACCAAAGCTACCTCAATTCTGTGCAGCAGGCTCAGTAAGAACAGAAATGCAATGCCTTTCAGATATAAACACAATATCAATCTCTGACAGCAGACTATGAGTTGAGTTGCTTTTCCTACAGTAGGATGGATTATATCAAACATCTAGGACCTAGCTTAGTCCTCTTGTGACTGATGGCTCGCCAGGACTAGAGGTCCAATCTGTGGCTGTAGAGGTTAAGTTTTTTTCCTTGGGAAGTAAAGCGGCAAATCTGCAGATGAAACTTGTGCTGCTGGTCTTACCAAACCTCACGCTGAAACCTGACCGCGCCTGGACTCGCGCCTAAATACAGGCACAGGCGACGTGGCACGGTGGAAGGCAACCCTGGGCCTGCAGTAAGTGAAGTGATTTGGTCAAATCCCAGGGTCTGCCTCTAAACAAGTTTATAACCTCCCTGAAATCTATTTCATATTCTGTAAGACGGAGATAATCATATCTACTAAACAGAATATGGCTGAGAAGACTAAATAAGAAATGTAATGAATAACCTCACAAAAGGGTCAAGCCCAAGGTAGAAACCCAATACAGATTCAATTAAGGCTGAAGACAAAACATTCTCAAGTGGTACTTCCTGGGCATTTCTCTATTCTGCGTTATCTGAATATATGGAATCCATAAGTTGCAGCACGGACACCATACCCAGTGCCTTGAACTTCAGGGACATCAGCAATGCTCGGGTCGGAAACATTGTGGAAGGCGGCTGCACCTGCCGCGGCGTGCGCTACCGCAGCTCTGTTTCATAAATGCAGATGGGCGGGGCAAAGGCCATCCGGCCGAGAACCGGGACTACCCGGCACCAGCATTCCCGCTGAGCCAGGGGAGCGCGCAAGGACGAGGTCGGGAGCACTTGGAGGTGGGAAAAAACAGGAAGCGTTCGAAGGCCCACATGAAGCCAGCATGCTATTGAATGTCAGCTATTACCAAGATACTAAAACGTAATCAAAAGAAGAAGAAGTTAAGTCAAAGAAGAAAGACTAAGACTAAGAATAAAGGGTTAACACACAAACGGAGAATCACGGGTCCCAGCGACCACAGAGCCGTCGGTGCGTGAGGTGCTGCGCACCCTTCCGCGGCGTCTAGGGTTCGACAGTCTCCCTCATCAGAAGGTGTGCGAGGCTACCCGCAGAAACGCATTCCCGGTTTTGGGATGGGAACCAGTCAGGGGATGTAGCTCCCACTGGGGAAAGTTGCTGCAAAGCCAAGTTCCCTCAAACATATCCACTTAGAAAAGCCAGGGACGCCGGCGCTGGGGAGCCGCGCAGGCCTGGGGGAACGCACGATCCCAGCGAGCCTGCCAAGTGTGCCTTTCCATCTCGGGGCTCCTTCCACAGAAACGTTCTGGGGGATGAAAATTAGGAAGACACTGAATGCAACGAATTCAAAATGTTGAAAAGATATTTTGCATTTGTGTTTTATAACCAAGTGCCTTTCCCACATTTGTCCCAAGGCAGCAGATGAAGCGTCCTATTCACCAATGCTAATACTAGCAATTGGAACATGCTCTTTGGCAAGGCAGAAATAAGATAATTGTTCAACATAGGCTGGCTTTTCAGAAATACTGGAAGCATTGCCTGTAATTATAGACATCTGTCACTGCTAGCCACTCAGTACTAACCCTGACATCAATATATACAACCATAGCACGCTGAACTGCCTGCAGGCACGGCAGTGGAGACCAGATACCCAGGCAGGCAATCATCTGCTTCATCCGAACTATCTGTCAAAGGTTCCCAACCACAAATAGCTCTTACATTTTGTATCCTTAGGATAATATGTTGATTTATTTTAGATTCCCTAATATTTACAGTCTAGGCCATCTACTAAAATAAAGAAACAAAACTTATGGCTAATGGAGGCAGTTACTGTTCACAGTCATCATAGAGGGTCATAGCTCAACCCTCAAATGTTAAAAATTGATGGCAGCTTTAACCATGCACTATTGCACAGGTGTTCCCTTTTGTAGGGGCGATTATTTTCAAAGGCAATTCAAAATGGTAAATACAATCTTTCATCAGCAAGCACGTTGCCACAAATGACGTAATAGAAATGCTCATATTTTTAAGTCCTTTTTTGAGAAGTAGAGATAAGTTTTGATGTTGAGTGACATCACTGACAAACTGGAGAACCCGATTGTCAGTCTGGGTTTGGCTGTACATATAGCACTGTGTCTGGCAACACGGTTTTTGTTTTGCATATACAAATGATGCGCTGTCCAAAAATTAGGGAAGATATTGAAGGATAAAAGACTTGGTTAATGAATAAGTTGACATATAACGTTGCTGGGTATAAAGCTTATTGAAATATGTGCATGCACATTCATATTTTTAAAAGCCCAGAGATACACTATAGCTTTAAATGCCACTCTCTTTTTTTTTTCTTTGAAGCAGGCAGAGAAGCTAAAAATTACTCCG